CTGACCTGAGGCCCCCTGGCTGACAAGCCGGTGGGAGGACGGAGATTCAGAGCAGGCAGCGGGTGCCTCACCACAGCAGCTGGCTCCTGGTGCCCACATCGCTTGTTGCAAATTGTATTCTAGGCAGATGGATACAGTGGGGAGGGGAAGACCCTCCCAGGGCAGACAACATGTGTCCTTCACTCAGCTCGCCCCCACAGTTTGTCTTTGCCTGCCAGCTGCATTTCCCCTTTCCCTTGGTTGCTGGCTCTGAGCCTATCCAGGGCTTGGCTCCAAGGTCCTGTAGAAGATAAATGAGGCCCTTGACCTGGTGCAGAGTGCACGCCACAGCCCAGCTACCGGCCTTCAGCTTCCCCCATCCTTAGTCTCCAGTGGGTCACGGGGGTTCAGAGACGGGTGAGGGTGGAGAGACAGACCCGAGCTGCATGCTGGGCCCTGCAGAGTTCAAGAGAGTTTTCTTCCAGGCTTTGCCCCCTCCCTCTTGTCTCAGCTGGCATGAGCAAGGCTGGGAGCTGGAAGCTTCAGGAATCGCTGCAGAGAATGCCCAGGAGTCCATGGCTTGGGAGGCCACCAGCAGGAGTCAGTGAGCAGGAACGTTCCCATTCTGCGCTGCCTGAGCAGGGTCCCCCAGGAATGGCAGGGAAGCCTTCTGTTTCTCCCTTTTCCACTGGATGTTTCCTTGGCTTCCCCCAGGGAGGACCCCAAGGCTGGGCTGCTGGGAAAGACAGTAACAGGCTCAGGAATGGGCCTGAGGAAGCGTGCAGAGCCTCCAAGCCTCACCTTTGTCTCCGGCCTGCCGCCTGAGGGCCACGTGGTGCCATCGTGTTTGCTCTTCCCCCGCTGCCAACAGTTTTCTGCCCTTGGTGGCAGACTTCCCCCAGGAGGAGCATGAGGTTCTCACACTGCTGGGAGTCTGAGTCACCATCAGGAAAATGTCAGGCAGCACACACACAATCAGAGCCAGGCCTGTAGGGCTGTGTCCACCCTCCCAGCCTTTGTTTTGGAAAAACACTTTGGCATCTGCCCTGCAGTGCACCTAGCCAAGGCTGGGCCATGGGAGGTGCTGAGTCATCCTTAGTAAGCACCACACTCGGTTCTAGGCACATTTTCACTTGTGAGGTCCTGGCACTCGGCCTGGGCTTCAGAGCAGGGACCCTCCATGCCAGGCTGGGGGCCCACTCCTCATGGTATGTGACAAGATCCTGAGTCTGACCTCATCTTTGCACCCCAAACCCTGACATTTGCAGTGCACCTCAGGTACTGGCTTTTTTTTTTTAATATTTATTTAATTTTATTGATTGATTCATTTATTTTTTAATTTGACCAGAGAGAGGCACAGAAAGAGAAAGAAGGAAACTGAGAAAGCAAGACACCTGGTCCAGGACTTGAACCGTGGTTGACCATGTGGGAGTGTCCAGCACCTTAGCCCTCATGCCACCTGCCGGTCCCAGGTACTGGCTTTCTAGTCTTCTTTTGGGGGAAAATCTGCCATAGGGGCCACATGCCACCTACTCAACCCTGCCCTGCATCCTGTTTTAATTTTTAAATTTTATCTATTTTTATTATTTTTTGTTTTGACCCAGAGAAAGAAACACAGAGAGAGAGAAAGTGCTTTATTATTTTTTGTTTTGACCCAGAGAAAGAGACACAGAGAGAGAAAAAGTGTGAGAGCAAGCCTCCAGGTCCAGGACTCAAACCACAGTCAACCATGTGGGATTCTAACACCTTAACCACTGTACCAACAGCTGACCTTCATGTCCTGCATCTCATAGTGCATCTCTATAAGCTAGTCTGAGACATAGGATATACAGTCTTCCTTAAAGAGAATTCAGCCACCTTTTCCTCAAAAGTGCCGATAATATTTTATACTGTCGTTCAAAATATTTTTTGTGTTCATTCATTCAGAAATACTTACTGAGCATCTATTGTGTCGTTGGAAAAGTTGTGATGTGTTTTTCTATACAAAAATGTATCATGACTGGGGACCAGCAGGTGGCACGGTGGTTAAGGAGCTGGTTAACCACGTGGTTTGAGTCCCGGACCTGGTGGCTTACTTTCTCACTTTCTCTCTCTCTCCTTTTCTCTGTCTGGTCAAATTAAAATAAATGAATGAATAAATAAAATTAAATAAATAATTCTTTTTAAAAAAACGAAAAAATGTATCACGACTTTTCCTATGACCCAATAGTAAATGCCAGGTACTGGGGTTACAGAGAACAGCCAAAGCAGACATGGTCTGCACCCCAGAGGAGTTTATGTTCCGTGCAGGAGGCTGAAAGCATTCATATAATCACGCAGATAAATGTGACAGTGACAGGGGCAAGGAATGAGAGGGGCGTCGTGCTGCAGCAGGACAGGAGGGGCTGCCCAGAGGAGGGACACTGGATCTGAAATCCGAAGGGTGAGTAAAAGTGAAGGAGATAAGGGGAGAAGGGAAGAGTGTTACAGACAGCGGGAATAGCCTTCATGAGTCCTGCAGTAGGAGGGAGTATGGTGAACACAAAGAACTGAAAAAAAGATGTAGGAGACAAAGAGGTGGGCGTTGCTGAGACCTGGGGAGGAGAAGGGGAGACATGGGTAGTCAGACCACACAGGCCTTAAGGGCCACATTATCGGTGTTGCTTTGTGTCAGCAATGGAAACAGTGGGCATGACAGATTTGCATTTCCGAGGGATTGTCTGGCTTCGAGTAGCCAGTGGGTTGGAGGGGACAGAGCAAGTGTGACTGGACCAGGAAGGGGGCTTTGCAATAGTCCAGGGAAGAGACCCCAGGAACCTAGACCTGGTTGTGGTAGTGGAAATGGATTCAAGATTGTTTTGGAGGTGGTGTCAGCAATGGAAACAGTGGGCATGACAGATTTGCATTTCCGAGGGATTGTCTGGCTTCGAGTAGCCAGTGGGTTGGAGGGGACAGAGCAAGTGTGACTGGACCAGGAAGGGGGCTTTGCAATAGTCCAGGGAAGAGACCCCAGGAACCTAGACCTGGTTGTGGTAGTGGAAATGGATTCAAGATTGTTTTGGAGGTGGGAAGACGGTGAGGGCCCAGTGCTTGGAGTAGTGGGAGAAAGAGAAGGAATAGGAGATTGCATTTCACCTGGAGAAGAGGGGGGAGAGGAAGAGAAGGACACCTGCAGGGAAGGTGACTTGAGTCACAGAACTGATGCCCCAGCTTTGAGCTTACAAACGTGTCCCTCCCCAGCAGACTTGCTGGGATAGACAATTGGTAAAATCTGGGTATTGTGCTGCTGAAGCTTCTCACAGACTCGGATAGAGAAGAGGGCCCAGCTGGCCCCCCGGGACCTGTAGCCT